ATAGCAAAATGGTGAGGATATTCTGATGTTTGCCAATTAGCACCTCCTGCATCAGAAACAGTGCATGTTATTTGATTAGTATACACATCCTTGAATTTTGTAATAACATGTTGAAGATCTTCACTTGTTTCAGACTTGCAAAACTTGAAATTGCCTGGAATTCTCAATTTTCCTTCAATATAGAGTGTTTGGATAACCTTTTCGGCCAGAAAATTATTTTGAATAATATTATCATTAATTGTATGTGATTGTGTTATTGGAATAGGACCTTGAATAGCTCCAATTAATAATCCAGATTTACGATTAATACTTAAACTAGAGAAAAGATCCATTCCATCCACTTGCAAAATACCTAATGTAGTATTATCTATTCCAATGATTTCACGTAGATGTGAGAAATCAGCTGCATCTAAAGAAGTATCACCATAGCCAACATTTGGGTGATGAAAATGATTATCAAGCGTAGAAGAACATGGAAGGTCTGCAGATGCGTCAAATTTTTCTGAATTTCCAGTCATATATCCTCTTCCGATACCTTCATAAAGATTATAACCCATAGCTGCTAGCAAATCTTGACCATGATACACAAAATATCTGGTGACCATCTGTGTCCACGTTTATCTGGGGAATTCAAATATGAAAGGGCATCCTTTAAATATTTAAAAAAGAAGCTCTCTGTAGAGAGTTTTCCACTTTGGATAGCCTTTAAAAAGAGACTAATCAATTCCGATTGTTGGATATCATTTTCTAGGAGAGAATAAATATTATTAGAAGTTTGTGGAGTGGTAATAGTGTCATTAGAAGTCTTATTCGTGTTGTGATTTGGTGATTGAATGATTTGATGATGATAACGTTGGTCGTATTGAATGTAGTTTGGAAAAAACAAGTGCAAATACTTGAAAATAATGTACGTATTGTCATTCATTTCAACACGTTCCAATAATTCATTGTGCTGGTCAAATAAAAAGTACTTTCCGACCCTTCCAAAGGAATACCTTGTGGATGAATCGTCAATTTTTTTCTTTGGATTATTGGCTGTTGTTCAGTGGGTGCTAATTTGATTTCTTCTCTGAAAAAACTCTTTAATAATTGAAAGAAAAAAATGAAAAGGGGCCGTATTTTTATTTTTGATAATGATCGGGTAGCGGTTGATAAAACAATCATCATCAGCAACACTAATTACTTGCATATTCATATTTTAGATTTTGACTACAATTTATTCGAACACGAAAAACTAAAAGTTTCAATTTACCAAACAAACTTCTCCACAAATCAAGTAATTACACAACCTATCATGGAAATTCCTTTAGAAAAAAACCTCGGTAA